TGAAAGTGACCTGTCTAATATCATACCAACACTCAAAACTGCTGACTCATAGCGACCATATCAGACAGAATTGAACCAACCCTGGGAGTTTCCAAGACTAACACTTTAAGAGAGTAAAAAGCCCTTTCTACTGCAGAGTGACTGGTGATTTTGAACTGCTGACCTTGCAGTTAGTAGTCCAAAATGTATGCCCACAGTGATTGATAATTAGAGTCAGAATATATACTCAGGTCTATTTAATTTTTTTTCTATTACACACAGTCAAGCTCTCAAACGCTGGTGTAGTTTCCGAGATCAGGTCTTAAAAGTATGCAGGGGAGCTACCTGGCGTTCAATCCCAGACATTTCTAAATCCAAGTCAAATTGCTGATATCAATTTTCTGCCTCAGTTCTGATAAGACTTCTGTCATATTCTTGTTATCCAATTATCATCTGGCAATTACATTCCTGGGCTCAAGTCCCTATATGAGGACTGCCTGATCCTCTCTCACACATGGGGATATGATTTGTTCAGATAAAGCTTCCCCTCCCCTCTATCAGAGATTAAAGTTTTGCTTTGAATCCAGTATCTGGGGAGTATGCTTGTCCTAACAGATTTCCAAAGAGTTCAAAGTCCTTGTGTGCTCTTCATGGTTATTTGGAACTAGCTTGCTCCATAATTCAAATACACCTCATGCATAACCACAGTGTTAGACTAACTGGTTCTTTGCCTTCAGGATAACTCTCCTTGAAACATCCTTCACAGTAACATAGAAGTATGGTTTACAAAGTACAGCCCTGATTATGTTATTCTCTATGCCTAAAAATATTCACCAGATAACTGAAACCTCTAAGATAAAAACCAAACCCTTGAACAGGATATCAAATCCTTTGCTGACTCATTAAAACCCCAAACCCAACCAATTGCAATCGAGTCGATTCCAATATGATTTCCCAGACTGTTAATCTTTACAAGATCAAAGAGCTTCACCTTTCTTCTTCATAGTAAGTGCATGGTAGGTTTGAACCACCGACCTTACAGGTAACATTTCAAAGGCTAATCCACGGAATCATCATACCTACTCCCAGACTCACCAATCATCCTTGGATTACATATACATCTGCCATATCAAACTCCCCCAAAGTCACGGCCATCAAGTGAACTCCAACTCGTGGTGACCCTTGAGGACTGAGTAGAACTGCCCCTGTGAGTTTCTGAGGCTGTAAATCTTTATAGGTGCAGAAAGCCTTAACTTTCTCTCCAGGAGCAGCTGGTGAATTCCAACTGCTAACCTTGGTGTTAGTAGCCCCAATGGCAACCCCCTATGTCAGCAGGGCTCCAGACTGACATTAGAGGTAAGAGGGGAAAGGGTCCACTCCTCTGGGTCTTTGCGTATGGTGATGCCTCTGCCTGGAGTGCCTTCGTCTCCTTAGGTTCCAGTCATGGGGGACAGAACAAACCCAAACCAGAACCTTCCAGTAATCTATTAGGGGCTGCATCGATGACCCTCCATTACTGAAAATTTCTGGAGAGGTACAGTTTTATACTCACTCTCTGTGCTCCCAGGACAGCTCACAAACACCTGTTTTAAAATACTCCCACACCACATGGTAAACAATTACTGATAGTCCTTGGCGGTCTCAGTTCCTTCAGTCAGAGGACCTCCTATTTAGTTTATTCGTTTCCAGGAGTTCCTTTTCCCAGCTCTGTGATAAATCCACTCCTTTCGCTTGGACCTCCAACACCTATGCCTTTATACTCTTTGTCAACCCTTCTCTTTCCCACGATACAAGATGTATATGGTTCTCCAATTTATAGAACTAATTTAGGTCCTGCCTTCTTCCAGTTTGCAGTGACATGTTAAATATGACAAACCAAGTACAATGTTGGGAGATATTAAATCCATCTAGGGATGGAGTAAAACCTTGTAATTATTTCCATTATTTCCATGAACATGTTTCAGTTACAGTGTGGAGGAAAAGATTTAGTCCATCTGGAGAGAAAAATACACATATCACAGGAAGGGCTGACTAAAATGTCTAAATTATGCCCCCATCAATTTTCTTTCTAAAGTTTGGAGTTTTAAATGAAATGCCAAGAAATTATTGGCCCAATTAAGTCTAAAGAAGTTCTAATGACAATAAATGGCATAATAATAAAATGCACCAATATTTTAGGAACAGACATGGAAGAGGAAAGGAAACACGATGCAAGTGCTTCCCAATAATAAATGCACATGCCAAAATTAAAATGAAACTTATCTGCAACATAACTTTCTTGCAATGCTTGCATTCATTCAGAATACAGAAAAGCAAAATGAAGTTGTCCAGGTGTAATCTTCTTTAATGTGTCAAACTGAAGCCACAAAGGGTCCTCAGTTACTCGATTTTAAGTGCTAACCTCGGAGGAGGATCGCTGCAGATTCAGTTAAAAGTTAACACACTATCATTTGCTCTCCCTTTTGCTTCATTTTAAATTTGTCCTAGTTCATAACATTCTCTCCTTTCTTTTCGATTGGCATTTGATCTCTTTTACTTTGTTATTGCTGTTAGCTTTTGGTTTCTCAGTGTTTGTCTCTGAATGAAATCCATGATAGCAGGGAGATTGTCTAGAATCAGTAGCTGGATTGATGGCTCCGTGGGGGTCTGGCAGTGGGGGCAGGCATGGGGAGCTAATAACAATGAGTACAGGAAAGAAGAACATGTTCTAAACTCGATTGTAGTGATGAATGTATTACTCTGTGATGTGACTGAACTATCGAATTGCATGATGTGTGAATTATATGCCGATAATACTGCTATAATACCCCCCCCCCCAAACCCCAGAAACAACAACTGATTGAGATGGTGACAAGCGATTGGAACTCTCATACTATGCTAGAGATCTATAAACATGTACAACCATTGTGGAATGTGATATGAGGTACATAAATATTGTATGAGACTAGTGCTATTAAGGTCAAACATCAAGATAAACAGAACTAGTGCCTCTCACATCAAGGAGTCACTCAATCTGGCCTCCCAGGAAACTGAGTGGAAAGACTGTCTACCGCGTGTAAGCCCGTTATTACTGGGTAACCAAGTGGTTTTGTAACCCAAAACCACTTCCCCAGGGGAGGCCTCACTTCAGCTGAGCAGAGCTCCTTAGGGGGAGTGGGAGAGGATCAAATTGTCCATATTGTGTGGCAAGACCTTACAGTCACCTTATTGAGTGCACAGTCCCTTACTGGTGCTCAATGTACTCTGGTGGATTCATGCGCCCATCTCAAAGAGAATCATCTCACTCCTGCTTGGGAAGGTGTGGGTGTGGGTGTGGGGTGGGGGTGAGGGAGTGCGTGACTTGCTCTTGGGAAAAATTCTTGATAATGCCTTTATTAGCACCCCCAAGGTGTATTTACTATGTACAACATGGCTAATCATGCATGGTTAACCAAGTTTCTGTTCAGGGCTTGGTGACCCAACCCTCATACAATTGGCGACTTTGACTTTGTAAGTCTTGTGTTTTTGAGGTCTACACTAAATACTGCAAAGGCCACATAAGAAAGATCTGAGTCAGAAAACCTACTCAGCAAACCCGAATTTACCTTAAAAACCCCTGTTGCAAATTAAAGGGACTAATGGACTTCTGGGGGCTTAAAGTTGTAACACCCGAGGGCAAGACGACAAGGAAGACTTGCTATTGAGGTTGTTAAACATAGGCACCAAGACTACCAGACACCTGCCTCCTTCAGATTTCCTTCACTTCTTAAGACATGTTTCAGTTCTGCACAGTGAATGAGAGCTATTTATCTCGGTTCCTTGCTTTTACATCTATTTCTTAAACAGGATTCTTAGAGAGGTATGACAGAGGAAACTGGCAGAATGGGAAGAGATAATAACAACGAATACAATCATGAAGACTACGTTCTCCAATTAAATGCCATGATAATTGCAGAACTAATATATCCAATTCATTGAATTGTATGATACCTAAATTATATCAATAACACTGTTTAAACAAACAGTAACCAAAAAAAGATCATGGAATTTTCCCACCAACTATTTGAAGCCCCTTCGTAGCTAAACAAAAGAAATAACTATTTGAATTATTTTTCTTTTAAAAAGGATAATTTGTTTTTGTCATTACTGTGGTTCAGAGAAAAAGCAACCAGAAGGGAAGGACATTTAAAAATATACCTGATAGCAACACATTTAAGTCAGAAGAGATATGAGACTGAGAGGAACAAGGAGATCAGAGAATAACACAGTTATCCATGCTGAGTACTGACAACATTCCATAAGCCTGGTTAGGAATAAAATAATAAGGGCTCATCTGGAGTTCATTTCTTCCTTAACAGCCATGAAACACATTTGATCATAAAGAAATTTCAGAATTTCTATGGGAACAAAAAAAAAACAACCCCAGCCTGGCAAAGAAGAAGAAAAAAATATAAAAATCACTGTGAAGAAAAAAATGTTAACATCTTAAACTGGGAAAACTTTAGTAAATCACAAC